TCAGCCCTGGATCTGGGGGTCAAGGAGAAGATCCTTGGTGGGAACCCAAACCTTGGATGGACATGGTGATGGGCCATGGCTCAGCCCCATGGGTCAAGGAGAAGGTCCTCGGTGGGAACCCAAACCTTGGATGGACATGGTGATGGGCCATGGCTCATTCCCGTGGGTCAAGGAGAAGGTCCTTGGTGGGAACCCAAACCTTGGATGGACATGGTGATGGGTCATAACTCAGCCCTGAATCCAGGAGTCAAGGAGAAGGTCCCAAACTTTGGATGAACCTGGCCATGACTCAGCCCCATGGGTCAAAGAGAAGGTTCTTGGTGGGAACCCAAACTTTGGATGGACCCAGCCACAGCTCAGCCCCGTGGGTCAAGGAGAAGGTCCCTGGTGGGAACCCAAACCTTGGATCCACCTGGCCACAGGTCATGGCTCAGCCCCATGGGGCAAGGAGAAGGTTGTTGGTGGGAACCCAAACCTTGGATGGACCCACCCATGGGCCATGTCTCAGCCCCGTGGGTCAAGGAGAAAGTTGTTGGTGGAAACCCAAACCTTCAGTGGACCTAGCCATGGCTCAGCCCCATGGGTCAAGGAGAAGGTCCTTGGTGGGAACCCAAACCTTGGGTGGACCCAGCCATGTGCCACGGCTCAGCCCTGGCTGTGTGGCTCAAGAAGGTCACTGGTGGGAAGCCAAACCTTGGATGGACCTGGCCATGGGCCACGGCCCAGCCCTGGATCCATGGCTCAAGGAGAAGGTCCTTGGTGGGAACCCAAACCTTGGATAGACCCAGCCACGGCTTAGCCCCGTGGCTCAAGGAGGTCTTTGGTGGGAATCCAAACCTTGGATGGGCTTGTCCATGGGCCACGGCTCAGCCCCAGGTCCGTGGGTCAAGCAGAACATCCTTGGTGGGAACCCAAACCTTGGGTGGACCTGTCCACGTGCCGTGGCCTTCCCCTGGTTTCATGGGTTGGCTTGGAAAGAACGGTGGAGGAACCCCAACCTCACACACCCCTGTCCACGAACCAGGGCCCACCCCAGCCCTTCCACCACCCCCATCTTCACCTCATGGTCAACCCCCAAAGCCCCACCCAGCCCCTCCTTACCCCAGGAGCAACCTCGGAGGTGGCCACGGGGCCTCCACCCCCCACCCCACCCCACCCCACGTCTCACCTGGCAGGAATCGATGCCCCCCTGGGGGACACCGGCGCAGAACATGTTGGGGGTGATGGCGTTGCCGTACGCCCGGTGGCACTTGGCCTTCCCAAAGGTTTGGATGTCGGCGCACTGCAACTTTCGGGGCAGGGTTGCTGCAGCAGAAGGTGGTGGTGGAGATGGTGAGAAGGGGCGTGGCCCCCACCCCACCCCCACCCCCAAAATGCTGAGGCTGGAGAAGACCTCGTTACACTTCTGGTAGGGTTCTTCGGGGAGGTGGAGACTGGAGATGCCTCCACCAGGACTGGGTAGGTCACCCCCTGCTCCCAAAGGGTTCTTGAGGAGGTGGAGACTGGAGATGCCTCCACCAGGACTGGGTAGGTCACACCCCCATCCAAGGGTTCTTGGGGAGGTGGAGACTGGAGATGCCTCCACCAGGACTGGGTAGGTCAACCTCTCCCCCCAAGGAACCCAACCCCCAAGGCAGGGGACGTCGTTCTCCAGGAGGAGCTGCTCATTGGATAGCATTGAGGTGACATCAGAGAAGGCCTCATCCCATTTTTCCAGCTGAGGAGGTCACTTGGCCTCCTTGGCCAACCCTTCCCACTTGCCCATCCCACCTCTTCCACCCAGATGTCCCACCACGAGCCGGTACCTCCAGGGGATGACGTCGTGCCCCAACCGGAGACGCTGCACCTCATCCCTGCCATGGGACACGTGGTGGCCAACCGGATCTTCTTGACCTTCTCGTTGAACACAACAGGGGCGTTCAGCTTCAGGAGCATGAAGTCGTTGTCAATCTTGCGGGAGTTGTAGGCCGGATGGACATAGGACTTTGAAATCCTCCTCCATTGGCCTGTCCCAGCCCGTAACGTGTCCGTCCCAATCAACACCCGGACGACGCTGGAGGAAGAAGGTCAAGAAATCAGCGCTGAAGCCTGAGGAGATGCAAGAAACCCTTGGCCTCCAGGCTCGGCCGTCAAGGAGATGAGCAAGACTTGGCCGTTGAAGGTTCTCCGTGGGGTAGAGTCAAGGAGATTTGGCCGCGGGGATCACCTTATCCCACTTCCCTTGGGGAGGAGGCCAGGAGAAGACACTAATTCCATGAGGCTTCATGAGCCAGGTCTCCTCCATGAGCTCCTGGATGGCTCAGGTACCCTGGAGGCATCTCCCACACCCATGAGGAACCACTGCCTCCCTTGACTTCCGCTCCTTGACATCACCTTCTTGACTCCATGGGTTCCACCTGTAACCTCTCAGCCACGTTGCCCTCAGCCCAATTTCTTCTCATCCTTTCCCCTTCCCAAAGCCCAGCTTCTTCTCACGGGACCTTGAGGAGAAGCTGGAGAAACTGGGATGGGGGCGGGGGGAGGACCTGCTCCACTTAGTGTTGCCACCTGGACAAAGGGGGTGATGGACCTGCAAGTAGTGGGACGGGGCTTGGCTTTCAGAGGGGTTGTCACCCTCCAAAGGCCACATCAGCTCCTCCAGCCTCCATGGGGAGGATTGGCTCTGCCTTCAATATCCTAGAGGCCATCACCTGGCCACCAACATCTGGAGATACCCATGCCAACAGCTGGGGCTTCTTTCTGTGGATGCCACCATTGGAGGCACCAACCCCTTGGAGATGCCAACATCTGGGGCATCTTTCTGTGGATGCCACCATTTGAGGCACCAACCCCTTGGAGATACCAACATCTGGGGAGGCCCCAACTAAGGGAAGACCATCTGTGGTCACCGCGGGGTTCTGGGCAAGGAGACCTGTGGCCATGGACCCATCTTACCTCTGCGGCTGCCGGCAGTGGGCGGCTGTCAGGACCCACTGTGACGCTATCAAACTTCCCCCGCACAGGATTTGACCCCTCTTGATGATGGCAACTTGGAAAGGTCGCTCTTGGATGGAGCAAGGTCTCCCACCGATGATCCGTGACTCGTCCTCCTCCGGCACTGTGGGGCAGAAGACCCAAGGGCACCACTTGAGACACCCAATGCTTGGGGGTTGACCAAGAGGCAAAACCTCGCCCCAACAGGGTTGAAAATGGGTGAAATGATGGAAAAAAAGGGGACCAGGCTCTGTTCTCCAGCCCCCAATTCCCATGGGAACCATCAAAATCATCTTAAAACCCTAAAATTTGGATTTTTTCATCTTCGGCGTCCCACTGGACGCTCTTTTTTGGATGAAAAAGTGACAATTTGGGGCCTTGTTCAGCTCCAACCCATTGGTGGCCAAGGTGGAACCAATCCTTGAAGGTTCTCTGGTGCTTTTCCATGGAGGCCACGACTCCGTGCTCTTGAGCGGCCACCCCGAGGAGAGGTGGGAGGTCCCACAAGGAGACCACCCCCACCACCACCCAGCGATCCGTCACGCCGGGTTGGGTCAACGAGCCGGCTTGGAAATCATCAGGCATCAGGAAGTCACTGGGGGTGGTTGGGGTGGGGGTGGGGGTGTCACTTATCTCCACCGGTTTCACCATCTGCTTCTGGGAGGGGCAGATCCGTTCCACCTCCAAGGTTCCTCCCAGCCCATGATTGGCCTCCAAAAGGGAGATGACACAACCCTAAAAGAGCTGAGTTCTTCATCCTTGGTTGGTGAGGAAGCTGGTAGGACCAGCTCCCAACCCCTCCTACCTCCTGGATGCCTCACGCGCCCAGGACTCCCAGTTAGGACCCGGGGTAGGAGATGGTTGCGTCACCACAAGCAGGAGAAGCCCTGACACAGGGAGGAATGATAGGAACATCGCTCTGGAGCCGAGAGGTCTTGGTCCCATTGGGTTGGTTTGAGAAGAAAAAAAGAGGAGGCCACCAGCTCGGTTTGGGGCTTGGGGCTTCTTTTTTGGTCATAGCAGAGAAAAAAAAGGTCTCACCCCTTGGAAACCCCCGCTTCCGACATGGATCTCCCCATCTTTCAGGTCTTTGGAGGCATCTCCCTTGGCTTCAGGTGCCTGCAGAAGCATCTCCCTTCGCTTCGGGTGGCTGCAGCAGATTGGGTGTCCCTTGGAGTTGCCCAACCTTGATGGTCCTTGGAGAGAGGAGGAAGGGACCTTTCTGAGAGGCAACCCCCACCCCATCCAATGAGGCCATCACCATCTTTGAGGCTGTCACCATCTCGAGGCCATGACAATCTCAAGGCTGTCACCATCTTTGAGGCCGTCACCATCTCTGAGGCCGTCACCATTTTGAGTCCATCACCGTCTCGATGCCATCACCATCTCGAGGCTGTGACCACCTTGAGGCCATCACCATCTTTGAGGCCATCACCATCTCGAGGCCATCATCATCTCGAGGCCATCACCATCTTGAGGCTGTCACCGTCTCAAGGCCATCACCATCTCAAGGCCATCACCATCTCAAGGCCATCTCCATCTCAAGGCTGTGACCATCTCAAGGCCGTGACCATCTCGAGGCTGTGACCATCTCGAGGCCGTCACCATCTTGAGGCCGTCACCATCTCGAGGCCATGACCACCAGGAAGCGGGGGGGGCCGATGCCGAGCGTTGAGCCGCCAGGCTGCGTCGAGGTGGCTCCCATCCTCCACGTCCGCAATCACCTTCCACGGATGGTTGGGACATTGGAATGTACTGGTGGGACTGGTTTGTGCTGGTGGGGATTGCAGCTTCTGATGGGTGGCAATGGGAGACGCCCGGCTTTTGAGATGCCTGGAATTCGCCACCATCCGGTCCCAGCGGGTGCTGACGATGTGGGAGGGTGGGAACCATCCTCCCGCAAATGTGCATCTGGGAAGGGTCCATGGTCATCCCAAGGACCATCCGTGAGCTTTTCGAGCCCTCCCAGCAGGTTTAGATTCCTCCCGAGCTCCTTGAAGGCATCTCAGCAGCTTCCCTGAGCTCCCGCGGCGGAAGGGAAAGGGTCAAGCAGTGGAGATGTAGGTGATGCGAGGTGATGGTGGATCCCATCCCTGTGGTAGGATCCATCCCTCCTGATTTCTGGTGGCCACCGGAGAGCTCCAACCAACGTGATGGGGCCTCTACCCATCCTGCCCATCCACGGGGCAGGATCCATCCCTCCGGATTTCCGGTGGCCACCGGAGAGCTCCAGCTGAGGTGATGGGGCCTCCACCCCAAACGATAAACAGCCAATGAGGGGGACACAAATGCTCCAACAGTTGTGGTTGGCCACGACCTTATTTCTTCTCCATAGGACCTGGGTTTTTGGGATTAGGGTGTGGGGACGCGGATTTGGGTTGAGAGGCACCGAGCTCAGGGCAGATGTGAGGTCAGAAATCCCGGGAATTCCTCTCGCCACCCTCAGCCCCACCCATCCGGGTTCTCCTCTGGCAGTGCCTCTGTTTGGAGGCCAGAAGAAAGGAAGGGGAACGTTCCTGGTGGGATTAAGTCCCTTCCTTTTCCTCCCCCCGCCGCCCCGGTGACATTTTTGGGCTCTTTTTTTGGCGGCTGGAACAGAAATCCCGTCCCAAACTTCCAGATGTTATCCTGGAGACCGGGAACTGGCCTCCGTGTCCTCTTGGGGGCCATTTGTCCCCCACCCGAGGTGGTTGCTGGCCACCAAAAGAGGTTTTGAAGCTGGAGGGCCTTGCCCAAACCATCCCGGCAGCAAGATTCCCACGAGCAGGCACCTCCCCCACCCCATCCCATCCCACCCC